AGATTGAATTCAATTGTGGTAATCCGAGGATTTTTATTCGAAATGAGTGTTAATTATACAATTTTCGTTTCTCAATTGTGAGTTTCGTCTCATGGTCCAATTATATTGCCCGACATTTGGATTGGAAAAATAATCCCCCGAATACCACACGAGCTTCAAAATTAATCGGGCATTTTCCTCAAGGTTCCCTGCATGCAAACGAAATTGTCAAGTTTTTCAGGGTGAAAAATCACATCCATTCGTTAACAATAACTAATCCTCTCTATCAATGCACGCCCTTTTGGAAATTGATTGATTGGGGGCGCTAGAAAAACTATCTCTCAATTTTTTTCAGATTTTTTCGACAGCCCATTTCGGAGATATGATTTTTTAGTTTTTTTTTTCATTAACGCGGATCTGTTCAACCAATTTTATGACGGTTCAAAATTTTACATTTTCTACCATCTATAAGAAAATTTTGGGTATTTTTTTCAATCTCTAGGTGGTCATAATACCAAATTATTTTTAAAAAAATGAAAAACTAGAATTTTCAAAATTATGTTACCTTTTATTTTTCTCAATTTGGTATTATGAAGACCTAGAGGTTGAAAAAAAAACTTAAAATGTTCTTATAGATAGCAAAAAAGTGAAAGTTTTGATGCGTCATAAATCAAAATAGGATGAATAGAACTGAAGTTATTGAAAAAAAAACGAAAAAATCAAGAAAAATTCATATCTTCGAAACGGGCTGTTGAAAAAATCTTTAAAAAATTGAGAGATAGCTATTTTAGTCCCCTAATCGTGGAAAAAATCGAGATCAATTTCCAAGAGGGTGAGGGTCAGCCGTTGACTCATTCGACATGAAATACCTCATATTGAAATTTCAGTTTCTTAATTTTTTTCGTATGAAATTTATTATTCTGAGTTGTTGAACATTAAAATAGTACATAACAGGAATTCAGAGCAATGATTTTTATACGGTATGAGAAAAGAATGATATATTGATAACGTATCAACAGTCGTTTGATAATTATTTTCATCAACCGAAGACTTTCAAATTTCACCAGGGTTCCCCCTTGAAAAGTCATATTTCATTGTGAGTGGATCCTCTCACAGGCAATTATTATTTTTGTTCAGAGCATTTTATTATTGAGAATTAATTCCTGTAATAGGGTTAAAAAAATTGAGAAAAAAACAGATTTACGTTGAGCGAAGCGAGCTCGCGTTTAGCGTGAGTAGAAACGGAATAGTTGGTCAGACACGCCGGCAATCAATCCTATTTTACTAAAGATGAAAGAAACGTGAAGTTGTTCTATATCGAAATATCTCGAAACTGCCTGACCGCTAATCCTTAATTCTGATTGGTCAATATGTGACACGAAGTTATTCACAAAAAAAAACACGCGGCATTTTCAAATTCTTCAGTGACATAATTTCAAATTCTTCAGTGGTAAATTTTTTTTTTCACGTCATATATATATATATAATATATATATTTCACATGTATATATATATTATCGGTGAAATTAATCAATTCTGTCCTTTTATGTAGACTGATTATTTTAAAAAATTGAAGATAATTAATTGAGAATGAAAAATTCTTTATAGATTCTTTTACTCTACTTCGCTATTCACTTCAATCATTAGTCGAATTCTCTTTGATTCATTCTCAATATTTATAAGGTATTCATGAGAAAATGAAATTCAATGAATTCCATTTCTTCATTTCAACAAAAGAAGAGATCAGCGCGCGCGAAGGCGCGCGCATAGATCTTGTTCTTATTTAAAAGACACACAAATGGTACGTAAAACATGCGTCAAATAGCGGCGCCAAAGGAATCGTAATCTTCCCGTGACATTGAATTTCTTTTAGGGGAAAAATGTAATGAAATTTCACATTTCACTGAAAATTTAAGGAAATTCAAAATTCTTGGGCAGCGGGAGGACGAAAATTCCCTCAATTTACTTGACTTTTTAATCAAAACATTAATATTCAGGACCTTATTACACAGAATTTCGATTAGTTACAAATTTTAGAATATATTCACCTGGATTTTCCGCATTTCAATGAATTTTTATGGAAAAATGTAATTTTAATTTGGAGCTTTCGATGTTATTTTCATAAAATTTTGAAATTTTGCATGATGAAATTCTTTGAAATTCCACAGAAATGAAAAAGCAATGATAATTTGTAAGAAGTGTTCCAGAAATGTCAGGTAATAAACATGAAATTACAGATTTCACTGAAAACTCAACGAAATCCAAAATTATTGAGCAGCAGGAAAACGAGAATTCCCTAACTTACTTGAATTTCACTAAAAAATCGAATATTCAAAAGAGTTCACCTGAATTATTCTGATTTCTATTAATTTTCATGAAGTAATTCAACTGAAATTGAACTTTCCATATCATTTTTTTGTCATAAGATTTGGCATTTTCCATTTGCGGAAGGTCAGAGAGTATTGACGAAATAATTACGACATTGATTAAATTGTCATAGTGCCAATTGTAATTATTTCTCAACATCCCCTGACCTTCCTTGAATTAATTAACTGGAAATACGCAATAACATCTCCTTCTTGCAACGGCAAATTAGTGAATTGACATTTAAACTGAATTGAACTGAATTTTACAGCTTCCATTGATTTTTCCTACAAATTTTCAATTTCAAACGACAAAAATCATTCAAATTTTCGGTGAAACTGCAATGCGCCAACAATTTCCAAAAAAATGTAGCGAAAATGAAAAAAAAAATGTCAAAAGTGAGCTCGTGCCATCAATTACTGATTATTCTTATTACTAATTATTATCGTGTTCAAGTTCCACTGAAATTTCAGGAAAGCTTGTCAATATTCCATTAATTGTCTGTTCAAATGATCTGGAAATCAATAAAACATTTGATTTTTCAGTTCGATTATTCGGTGAAAATTCATAAAAATCAGGAAAATTCAGGGAAAAATGGAAAATTCATATCGTTTTGTTTCCGGATATTCATGTTCCACTGAAAACTCATGAATTCCCGGGAATTCCACTTAACACATAAAATTTCATAACCATTTTTTCCCTAAATCCGATTCAATGTCACTCCCATGAGATTTACTACAATATCTTCCTTGAAATTTCAAAAAATTCCTAACAGTGTAGTGCAAACAGTAAACAGTTGTTTGTTGGTGTACAGCAACCGGTAAAACTCACCATTATCTGAAACATTGATCCTGATAGTTCTAGTGCACGACCACTCGGCTTTTTTTCCTCTCATTTTCTTTTTGCAATGGCAATTTTTTTGCTGAATCCTTCCTTTGAAATTTTTTTTATCGTCATTTTTTGTTAATCCACCGTTTAACCATGGTCACGAGTCCGGGGCTGCCGGTTCGAGGCGGTCTGTGCACTCATCGGTTAACGGTATTTCTCGTCGATCCTCTCTTTACGAGTCCTACGAGAAACACAACGTAGCGAATGTTGCAGGTTGGGGCATGGCGCAGGTGCTCTCACCGAACTCGTCTTCTCAATGAACGCGTGAGGAGGATGAGGAGGGGGAGGAGGAGGGAGGATGGAAAAATGAAAGAGCGAGATGGAGATAAATGTTGTGAGAAGTTGAGAGTTTGGAGAGAGGGTTGAATCGGATATGCTCTGCAGAGGGACAAGAAGGTTAATCCGTGTCTAACTGTAAGATAACCGGCCTATCCGGATCGGCCAGACATGGCACATAACGATTTCCAGTGTTACAGTGCAATCCCTCGAGCAGCGGCTCATCTCAATGAATTTTTAATTGAGTCAACACACTCCCAATCCCACAGTGGTGAAAAAATTTCGCGGAGTTTTCCGGAAAAATAGCGAGAATTCGATTTCAGGGGAAAAAGTCAATGGAATTTCTAGTTTCTCTGAACATTGAAGGAAAGTCCCTCTTTCTTGCGGCAGGAAGACGGAAATTTCCGCAATTTACATGAATTTTTAAGGGAAAATGAATATTTACTGCCAAATTCCCTTGAATTTTCAAAGAATTGCTTTAAAATTCTTGGAATTCCGAGAATTTTTTAAGGAAAAATTCAGGGGAATCTGGAGTGCAAGGAGAGATTTTTCTGAATTTTCATTAATTTCCTTGGAATAATTAAACTGAAATTTACGTGAAATTGTGAATTTTCAGGATAAAAATATCCTAAAGACGGTGTCAAAATAATATTTTTAATACTATATTACAAAAAATATTATAACATTAATAATGTTTTAATAATAATATTTTTAGATATTTATTCCTATATTAAACAATATAATATTTTGATTGTAATATTTTGTATATTTTAACGGTAATTTTTTTTGGCACAAGTAAGACGTGTTTGAGAACTTTGCTCTCAGTGTAGAAAACACTTCTGTTGTCTTGAAAAATTAAATTCCCTTAAATTTTCAGGCAATTCCTTTAAAATTCTTGAAATTTCATAAATTTTTGCAGGAATTTCCTGAAAATTCCGCGAAATCTGGAATTCAAGGAAAGATTTCCCTGCATTTTTCTAATTTTTCATTGATTTCCCCGTAATAATTACACTAAAATTCGCCGTTTTCACGAATTTATCCACAAAATTACGAATTTTCCATTGACAAAATTCCTTGAAATTTCAGGGATTCTTACCGGAAATTTGAGTGGAAAATGTTTAGCATTGTAAAAAACACTTCTGTTGTCTTCAAAAATTCAATTCCCTTAAATTTTCAGGCAATTCCTATAAAATTCTTGTAATTCCATAAATTTTTGCAGGAATTCCCTGAAAATTCTGCGGAATCTGGAATTCAAGGAAAGATTTCCCTGAATTTTTATATTTTTTCATTAATTTCCCCGTAATAATTAAACTGAAATTAACCGTTTTCACGAATTTATCCATGAAATTGTGAATTTTTCAAACTCTTACCTGAAATTTCAGTGGAAAATTGTTAACAGTGCATCATTTAAACACCTCCAACAAATCACATAAACAGTAAAAAATAGAAAGAAGAATAACGAAAAACCATTTCCACTTTAATTTTTTTTCCAGATGCAAAATGATCGATTACAAGACGAGTCCCTGAATGCGAGGACGGCAAGATAAAAGACGCCGAGGATAATCGTATTTCCAGAAAAATGGGAAACAGCAGCTCCCATCAACACTGTCCGACGAATTTAGCATCTCAGGAGATGGGACGCGGTTGGACACAATCATTTCCCCGTGAATTGACGCGACACCACTCACAACCCCCGGGGCACAAGGTCCTGCCTGAACCACCCAATCAGCGTTTACGTGCTACCAATAATGGTAATATCATTCACAACGGTGGCACCATAAGTGGCCGAAGACCATCAGCTTTGACGCTGCCGCACGATCTTAACAAGGTATACTATCGCATGCATCAGAATCCGGAATTTATCGCCGTCCTGTGTTTCGCGGTGTTCATTATTGGGGGGAAGAATACACATGGGGGGGGGGGAAGGGGAATCAATTGTTGTTTCGTCAAATATTTCATTTGATGTTTATGGGGATTTTATTCAGGGAAATGATCAATCTATTTTTTTTTCCATTTATGTAAGACGAAATAATAGTACATCAATGTTGGGAAAAAAGATGGTGACCTTGAATTCGTATTAAGGGGAGGGGGGGTCATGAAATTTCAGATTTCATTGGAAATTCAATGAAATTGTAAATTTTTTAGCAACAGGAAGACGCGGATTCCCCTTGAATTTTTAAGTAATTGAAATTTCAAAAATATAATTACTTGAATTTTCCTGATTGCTATTAATTTTGATGGGATAGTTGAAGTGATTAAAGAAAAATTTGCAGCTTCCATTCGATTTTGTTCATGAAATTTTCAATTTTTCATTTAAGGAAGCTACGGTCAGGGGATATTGGAAAAATAATTTCAATACTATGATAATTTAATCAACATCGTAATTATTTCTACAGTGACCTGTGGGCTTTCTTAAATTCTATAACATCATGGAGATGAGAACAATCATTGTGTGAATTTTCAAAGACCTATAGAGTGATAAAAATTTCCTAGAAGTGTACCTGTCATTGCAGATAAAAATTTTAACAATACGATTTCCTTTGCTATTGAACTATCATTGAAAATGATTAATTTTTATAAAAGTCTCATGAAATTTTATTAATTTTCAAAGATTAGTTGGATTGAAATCTCTAGTTTTTAGTGATTTTGTCATGAAATTTTTAATTTTTAATGAGCAAATTCCTCGAAATTTCAGTGGAACTGTAGTACGACAAAAATTTCCATCAATTGCAGCTGAAATTTCAGCCAGAATTTGTTAACAATGTAATTTAATTTTCTTTTAAATTGTTAGTCGAGATAAAATGATGTTTCTATAAAATTCTTAGGCAATTCTATTAATTTGCATGAAATAATTGAACAGAAACTTACAATTTCCATTAATTTTTCGATGACATTTCACTAGAACTACAATATGACAACAATTTTCAAGAATTGTAGTGTCAACCAATTGACAAAATTTTTACTGAAGAAAATAAAACAGCGAATTCAATTGCTCAAAATTCCTCGAAATTTCACGCAAAAATGAACAATGTCATTTCATTTCCTATCGAATTATTTAAAATAAAATGAAGTGATGTGAAATCTACTGTGTCCCCAGATTTCTCCCTAAAATTTTGAGATCTCACTGTCTAAATTTCCTTCAATCTCCCCCAAAAATCATCAACAAAGTTCTTTAATTTGTTACTGAATTGCTCAAAAAATCGAAATAATGTCAAGCGACATGGAAAATATCTCTTTCAAAGCCTAAACCATCAAATTCATTCACCCCACACTACCTTTCCCTCCCCCAGCAAGAGGCACACCGCAGCAGAAGTGCCTCAAACATGGCACCCCGTGCCCGCGATCACGGCAACCACCACTACTGCAGTGGTCACTACCGTCCCTGCAACGGCAGCTGCCGCGGCTCGGAAATGATGGAAATAAAGCGATTCGGAAGTGAGCCGGACCTTCGTTACTCCCCAACCGAGCCAAGACGTCACAACGAGACCCGTCACTCTGGCTACTACCCCGAACGGGAGAGCCGTTACCGCGGCAAAAAGAAGTACAAAGCCCCAGCACCGCCGACCAACGGTGATGGCTCATCACCAGACTCTTACAAGTGGGAAATTATCGGCCGAGAGCGTGAAAATATGAGACAGGAGGATGATCCCAGCGTTCAGCCGCCACCAAGAAGATCGAGACTCTTCAAGACCCGTGCCGAGACCAAAAGACAATCAAGTAATTGGCAGTCACAGCAGGAGAATAACGACAGCCTCTTGGACAGCGACAGAAGATGGCGCAGCGGTGATAATCGAGGATCCGGCAAAGAGAATAGATCGATATTGAGGGAGTATCACGAGCAGGATCGATGGTCCAGAGACGACAGGAAGAGATCCAAGAAATTTGACGGTAAGAACACGCTCCAGCGGAGTCTATCGAGCCCGGAATTCCAGGCTGAATTGATGCAGGTCGCGAGAAAAGTCCGTAACAAACTCAGTTACAACAAGAGAGTTGGACCGGTTGGTGCTGCAACAGTGACCACCACAACTGAACAGCGCACTGATTTGCGAATTTCAAAGTCTATGACGTCCATCATCGATAGCACGAGGGATAATCAGTGTGATCGCAAGAATGCCCGAGTGACACGAGGCAAAAACAAGAGTGTTGAGGAGCCATTGGAGAATAGACGTGATGAAATTCGGAGTTCAGCGAGATTTAATGGTGATAAAAAATTTCAAGAACGTGCTAGGAGTGAGAACGGAGTCATTAGGAGCCATCAGGAAGTACGTTTATACGAGGAGAGCAGAATGGACACTCAACATGTTGAGGAACGTGAGAATGTTAGCCACAGGAGAAGAGTTCGTGAAAAGTCGACGACCTATGAGGACAAGGTCATTGGTAATGATTGTACTGATTTCAATGGGGGTGGCAAATTATTGAATGGACAGTGTCATGGGGAGAAGAGAAATGACAGGGTAAAGATGGCTGATGGTGGCTGTAAAAATGAGATGAAGGGGGAGGTGGGTAGAACGAGGTCGGATAGCCCGGGACAGCGGTTGTGCAGAGACAGAATAGATGTCAGGGGTCAAGGTTCTGGGAGAGAGAGTACGCCGGAGCCACCGAGGGGAGAGAATGAGAAGATCGCGGATAACAGGAGGAGAAGAAATGAGAAGGTGGAAATCACTGGGAATTGTGAGAAATGGACAGCTGGGGGTAAAACGGAAAAGTATCAGGTGATGGCTTACGAGAATAACAGCACGAAGGAATCGATGGAGATCGTCAAGAAGAATTGGAATGTCAACAATGGGTGAGCTGTCTTGAAGCGTTTGCTTGCGACATTAAGGATATCCAAGTAGTTCGGCAATTTTTTCGGGGGAAAATCCTATTTGCAGTTTATGGAGTAGGTCGAGAGTATTTTTTAGGTAAATATGAAGTTTAGGTTTCGAACCTTATGTCGAGAAAATCATTCTTGAAAGAATGACATTTAAGACATTGCGTCCGTAAGAGCTGCGTACTCTTACCTTCAGTCCAATAGTTTATAGTCTTGAAGTATTTACTTGTACGCGGAACCGTCACTTTGATCGTTATAATTTCGAGATTTTGCTTCAGAATAGAAGCCTTGTATTTGATCGATTTTTGGAGCTTCTAATTTTGATTGCAAGTGGTCTAGAATATTAGGAAATGTGAAGAAATGATGTTTTTAGGATCATGTCTGTATCTGTGTGACAACTTGGGTTTTCGGTGATTAATTTTGAGAAAATTCAACATAAATATGGTGAAATTTGGAGATTAAAATCTGAAATCTTGGGTCATTGTAACTATGATTGAACTCAACTTTGACGCGCTGTTTTAGCGCGATTCAATACACAGCTTGAAGATATTGCTGTCTTTCCGTTTTTCATGCAAAATCGCGTATGCACAATAACTTGAGAAAAAACGGAGATAGCAAGTTGAAATTTGGTATGATCCTAGCTCTTATAGTACTAAAGGTTGGTATTTTGGATGAGTGTAATCGACCAAGCGGTTCCTGAGATATGCAACCTTATATGTAAATATATTTCGTTTAATATCTCATAAAATGCTCAAAGAATTTGATTTTTTTCTTGTTCAAAATACTCGTCTCGACGGCTTCTGTTTAGATCAATCAAAATATTTGTACCCATTCATACAAAATTGTCGAGATATTGCCGAGAGTCAAGCGTGAAATTGAAGAAAATATTTTTCACAACATTCGTTGAAGAAATTCCCAAACCAATCTATTTAATAATGAAAAATTCGGAAAAGTATGGGGACGGCAAGATCTTCGGCAAAACTGAAATCTCGCACGGAGAGACATATTCAGTAAAAATTACGGAACAATTTGCGTAATCCGCAATGGTGAATTGTTTTCCGGAAATTTTTATAGGAATGGAAGAGAAGAAATCTGAAACGCTCAGTGAGTTCTCAGGTTCATCACCGAACAAAGTACGAAATTGTCACTTATTATGCCTCCAAAATCCAAAATTCTTGAACGTTCAACAATTTTTATGAAGCTAGTGAGTTATTCCTACGTTTCGTTCCGTAAAATTTCTCAATCGTTGGGGAAAAATTACGGAACGACTTATCCCCACAGTGGTGAGTCATCAGAGGGGTAGTTAATTTTTACAGAACAAATCGTAGAATTTACGTGACGATTCGTACAATTTCAGTTACGACTCACACTTTTTATTGAATTTTACTTCACCCGCGGATTACATTCCAAAACGTAATTTTAACGTTTTTTTCTGGTAATTTGTATTGAATTTTTCTCTCCGTGCGCTCGAACAAAAGTTGCTAATTTGGACGAAGTACTTGGATATCCTGAAACTCTAATCACAGATGCAGTGATAATGAACATTCAAAATTCGTATTTAGTTTATCGACGAAAGAGAAACAGCCCGCGAAGAAATTCTACTTTGATACCGAGGATAATAAAGTGGAGACGAGTACTCAGCACAAGACCAACCGGATTCAAAAGCGACTGCATGAAAAGGAATACACCAAGTCTCAGAATGAGGTTGATGAGGTAGGCTTTTGTGATAAACACATCCTGCCCATACTTTTCACGTATTATTTCATTCCTAATTGAGAGTCTCATTTCTCTTGTCTATTTATGCCCCTTCAGAGAACAAGTTGGAGGTAATTTTCATGATTATGCACATACCGAGATGTCACGACGATTAAATTTTTTCTCGATACAAACTCGTTGACATTTCTATGATTTTGGTTTACAGGAGTGTGTTATAGTTAACGAGGGATTATATTTTCTAGATAAAAATTCAAAACGAAGATATAGCCCTTAAATTACGTCCGACCTTGCCGAAGAAGCAATTGGAGATTCCGCGATTCTCACCGTCGGCTGCGTGGAGATTGTTGTCCGCCTTGGAGACACCAGGACCGACCATGAGCACAGCCAGTGAAGAAATGCCAGTGAGTATTGATTTACAATTATTCATAATAATATGAGTTATTGTCAGTAACTTGCAAAACCGGTGAATGCAGGAGAATAGGGAACTTGCATGATTTTCGAGCTACAGAGGTTTTTTTTTGCAATTTTTTTGGAAAAATATATGCAGTAACAATACGAATTAGTTGGACATGGAGACATTCATTCAATTACGAATTAGTTTTTTAAAATTCAACTTCTACACAGCTAATTTCGTTATTATTTTGATAAAAAATGTCAAATAGTCCGAAAAATATTTCTGAAAGAATCGAGAATATATTTTTAATATTTTAAGAATAATTTTACAGTTATTTTACATGAATGGTGCAAATTTTTACATTAAACAACTTTCAAAAAACTAATTCGTAATTGTTATTGTATACATTTATCCAAAAATTTGGAAAAAAAACCTCTGTAGCTCAAAAACTGGAGGCGCTGGACTATTTTCAACATTTTAGACGTCTGGGGGGCAAAGGAACAACAATTAATTTTTTCAATCAATTTTTTTGCACTAATTATTAGTTTTTAGACACATATAATCGATCTTCAATGCATGAGAAATCTCACACCGATATCCTACGACTTTTAAAACTCATAGTAGTCTCCCCTTAATCAGTTGTTACAAAATATCCAGACCACTTATCGGAAAACTTTTTACTCTGGACTGGTTCATAGACTACAAGGACTCCATTCATTTATCCGTAGTCTGGTCACAAATCGCGTCCCTGCGATGTTGGTCGCCTGCGCGGGGATTCCCCACTTATTTAGGCTTCAGCATTGCCGAATTCACTCCACATTGTCCGGACGCGTTTAGCGAGTTTCCGGGAACGTCGCGTCATAGACTATTTCATTTAACGTGGGACAAAATAATTCATCTGTTCGAAATAATTTGTTTTCTTTCGGAATTGTGGAAAATATCTTGTTCTAAAAATTACTACCATTTTTTAGACACTTCAATTAACAAAGTCAATTTTTTTCTTTAATTTTTCCGGTTAGCCAGTCAATTGTAATTAAGGGGTAACAGAAGGCCACCGTTTCCGCGAAATTTTCAAACAAATTTCTTGCTCAAAGTTATTAATATTTTTTGCATCTAAAGCACATCATCACCCTTATCTGCTGATCTTCATCATCGCCTCCTGGAGATTAAAGTGCTTTGATTTGTAAAAATATCGATAATTTTCGGCAGGAAATTTGTTCAAAAATTTGGAAAATTAAGGGCATCGTTACCCCTTAAAGAATTACGACGCGCGGCGGGGTTTCTCTCACAGGGTAACCAATCTAGGACTAAAAATATTAGAAAACTGGACTCTATGCTAGTTTTCTATTACTGTTGCTCTTCCCCTCCTCTCGTCCACTTGTAAATCATACTTATGCCCTTGTGAGACACTGGTCGCACGTGGAACTGGTACCACGTACACGTTGATAAACCGTTTGAATTCCTCGATTCAACCTCGGCACAACGGCACAATCTCGATTTTCCTCCAATATCGTCTGGAGCATTATGGCGTTAGGAGTGAAACGCTTCCCACTTTTAGTAGCCATCAAACCAACAAATGGGATAGAGAGAACCGTTGGACGAGGGGCTTGTTATTCATCTGCATTCCGTTCCAATGACGAACTATCATTACGTGATTTCGATTGAATGATTTCGTGATTTATAGCTTCTGCAGACCATCACTTCGGGGTAATATTCAAATGCGATGGAATGGTTTTCGCGCTTTCTTTACCGGAATGAGTGTTGGATTTCTCTCGAATGAGAATTGCGAGGATTAATGTTTGATGGTTGTATTGATAATTAAGAATTACACTGGTAATAAACCATTGAAATTGCATGGACAGGTGACTTGTAATTTTCAGGAGAGTGAGGTTTCTTTCGGTTTCGAGGACAAAAATTATGAGATTTCAGGTTTCACTGGGAATTGAAGGAAATTGTAATTCTTAAGCAATAGGAAGACGAGAATTCTTCAAGTTGCGTGAATTTTTAATAAAACGTGAATATTTGCGACTGATTAAATGAAATTTTAAGAGTATACTTTCCTGATTTATCCTGGTTTCTATCAATTTTCATGGAATACTAAACTAAAATTCATATTTGCCACTGATTTTTCCATAAAATTTTTAATTTTCAATGATGGAATTCCTTGAGATTTCAGTGGAACTATAATGTGATAGAAATTTCCAAGAAGTGTACCGAACATTTCAGTTCAAAATTTTTAGCAGTGTAAAGTAACGTCAAATAATGTGAAATTGACACAAAAAATATTCACCAAGGTTAGATTATGGATTTAAAACTCATAAATGTTGCCCTAAACCATGAACTATGGGTCATAAGGATCACAGAGGCCATAGGTAAAGACCGGGAAACGGGAAATAACAGGGAGAAAATTGAAGAAAAAATGCTGAATAACAAAAAAATCACGTGCTGGACTATTATTAAAAATAAAATGATACTTTAATAAAAGTCTTATGAAATTCTCTTAAGGATATCCAAATACTTTTGCAATTTTTTCTTCAGTAAAATGCTTTTCTACTTTTGTAGTCGAACCTCACAGTTCACATTTGAGCCATTTTATTATTTACACTCTGCAGATCTGAATTCAACTCTCGATATTCAACCGTTAGAAAACATTTTAAAAATCTGAAAAAAAAATTAGAAAGTTTACTTTTGGAGGAAGCTTGATAAAATAATTAAAAAATTGTAATTTTGAAAATTACGAGCATTTTGTATAAATAATTCAGAAACAATTAATTTTTTACAATAAAAATCATTAATCATTTGTTCAGAATCGTAAAAAATTTATTCATATTCACAATTTTACCAGAAATTGATTTAATGCTTGAAAAAATAAGATTTCCGGAAGTTTAAACAATTTCAGTTATTTATTTACAAACAACGAATGTTGAAAAAAATAATAATTTGTGCAAAATGTAATTTAAATGACGCAGAATACTCATGATTTTGTCAGTTGTCTGTACAAATTGTGAAAGAAACTTGGATATCCTTCATTTGCATAGAACAATCGCATTGAAACTCCTAGATTTCAACGATTTTCCCTAAAATTTTGATTGTCCAATCTCGAAATTCCTTGAAATTTCAGTGAAATTATATGACAAAAATTTCCTCCAACCGCAAATCAAATTCCAAACTATTTATAAATATACACGGAGAGAAATCCTATTCTAAAAAGAACATACACTTAAAGTCGATAACTATCGATATCTCGAATGTCTGTCACGCTTATTCCTCATTGGTTCCAGTTGTCAGAGGCGGCAAATTTAATTCATGATTAATTTAATTTTGAGTTTCAATTATGATTGTTACAATTACAGCGCACTGTAGCGCGCGTTCGGTCTCGTATTCAGTAAAAATTACGGAACTCACAGTTCACTCTCTGATTACGGAATCGACTCAGAAAATTTAAGTGACGGTATCGTAATTTTTCACAGGAGATTCAAGTAAAAATGACGTGACAGTTCCGTAAAATTTTCTACAACCACATTTCGCTCCGGAATTACGGAAAAGATACGTAATTTTTATTGAATATTTCTCACCGTGTAATGTTGCTAAAATCGATTCTTCCCCTGGGAACCGCTCATTTCCACGTGCCTTCCAGGTAATGTACGAAGAGCGTATCGAAAGGTTATCGAGGCCGCCCCCTCCCCTGATAGCCCTGGGTCCCCGGAGCTCCCACGACAAGTCCGGGGACTCCGGCATATCCGGGGACGCCGGAGGGCCGAACGAGGACTCCCCGAACATCAGCACCAACCGACTGAAAACCCAGGCATCGAGGCCCACCTGGACCCCCCAACAGGACCTCGGGGAGGAGTCTAGCAGTGACGCAGGTGTCGATTCGCCCCCCCCAATGCCCCCTTCCGTCAAATTTCCCTCCAGACCCCACGTATTCTCCCTCTCCCTCCCCAGAGACGACAATCGCCACACAGTCTACACAGTTGACAAGACAAAAGACAACGGATCCTTCAATTCCCTCCAGAAGATCAAAAAATCGGTGTCTGGGGCGTTTGGACTGGGCTCCGGGGAATTCGAGAGGAAGCGAAACGAAATGCTCGACGACAACTGGCTGCTGTCCACCAGTGCTCCCACATCACTACAGCACAACCAGGTGAACCACATCGGAAGTAACAGGGAGAATGGGGGCAACTCCCCAGGATGGGACACTAATTTCGCTGTTGAGAATTTCGAGGACGAGCCGATGGAGGAGGATAAGCCCGACTTTCCCGTTGTCATGAAGCCCCCGTCGTTCTCATATCTAGCGTCAGGAGGGCATGTGATGTATCTCCCCTCGTCCAACGGAACTGACCACAGAACCCAGAGCTTGAACTACAGGAATTCTCTCGGTGATGTGACCGCCAAAAACGCCATCTCGAAGAATTCGAAACCCCCAAAGTCCAAGGGTAGACTGACTGCGCCAAATGGCTTGACTAATGCATTCAGCAATGGGATAATCTCGGAGAAGTTCAAGGAGAACGGAAATCTCCATCGCGAAAGGTCCTTCATTAACCTGGGCCCGAAGGACCGTGCATCCATGAATTTCTCGAAATCCTGTGAGAATATCTCCGAGATGAAGCAGCGAAGCTGTTCGCCGTCCAACGAGCCGGAGAATCTACAAGATAAGAAGAATGATCTTAGTAATTTGAAACTAGCGATAAAGCCAAATCCAAAGGGTAAGCGGTTTACCTTCCAGTCGACGGTGAGGCAGATCGAACGCAGGAGATTGGCGGAAAAATTGTCACGTGAGGCTGAGGCCAAAGAGCGCCAGAGGAAGAGTGAGCTGGAGGCTATGAGGAAGGTGGAGGAGGAGTTTCAGAGGAAGCGAGCTAAAGAGAAGGCTAATATCAGGCAGCAGTTGAGGCTGTACAGTATGGACGAGAATTCGAGGTATGTTTGGACGGGGGAGAGTTGTTGGAGGGAATATATTTGATATTTGTTTCGTTAAGGCCCGGGTGGATTATCTCTTGAACGTGATCTTGATTGTTTTTTTTATTTTGATAATCTGAAATGATCTCCAATTGCTATTCAGTTTTACGTAGCCCTGGAGTCTCCGAAAATAGTGATTGTGCAATCAAAAAAACGTTGGAAAAAGGCTGAACATTTTCAATGAGCGTTTTTGAATAATATTGGGGAAAAAACAATCGGGAGGAAATTGCAAATTAATAGTTTGATGTTTCTAATGGCTGTTAGGTCGTCATTTGTGACAGTAGTCAATGGCTGTCAGATCGTTAGTTACCGTGATAAATTACCCATTCACTATTTCCTCTCTATCGGACTTATTTCTTAATCTTTATTAAAAACGCTCTTTGAAAATGTTCAGTTTTTTTCTACTTTTTTTTATTGTGCAATCATCATTTTTAGGGACTCCTCCGTGATGTGAAATCCAATGGAACTTGTGATGTATTTTACATTGTGAAGATGGCAAAATAATCGAGATAAAGTTCGACAGATAATTCACTCGGGCATTAAGGATGCACCCTTTCGGCCAAAATTCACGTTTTTTAAATTCTTCTGGTAAATTATTGATCGGATTTACACGAAATAATATACCGTTTTTGCGTTTTATTATTATTGATTGACTCACGAAGTTTCATTGTAGTGCAATCATTTTCCTGCATTTTTTCTAAAGTTTTGTGAATTTCCGAAAAGTTTTAGAAAAAACGCACGAAAATGATTGTACGATCGTGAAATTTCGTGAGTTATTAAGTAATGATAAAACGCAAAAACGGTATATTTTTTCACGTCAAAACGTTCAAAAACGTGAATTTTAGCGAAAAGGGTGTAATACATCCTTAAGGTATATCCCCAGACTGAGAGAAAAATAGTAGAGGTCCTAAACAAGTCTTACTTGTGCCAAAGAAACCATTTTACAAAATCATACTGCGCAGTTTAGGAGATGATAAATAATGAAATGCGCACTTCTAGCCCGCGAGGCATAGGCTAACCGGTAGTTATGAGAAAACGGTTATTACGTCTTATGAGAAAACGGTTATTACCACGTTTTTAAAAAACAAATCCGTAGTTAATTGATAAATTCCGAATACGGTGAGTTTTTTTGTAAAACTTTATAGTGCATAGTTGCTGCGATATTCAACTGGAAAAAACGGAAATTTCGTGAAATTATTTCACATTTGATTCAAATAATTGATTAACAAATAATTTCTTATTTCATTCAAACAGCATATAAGGATAGAAAAACTCAATAACTTGGGAGAATGCTCATTGCGTTAAGTTATTTAGAATTTTTTCCGGAATTACTCAACAATTAACTTTTAGCTGGTATTGTCTTGGGATATACCTTAATTAGGGATTTTGAGCCGAAATGTCGAGAGAAATTTTTGTTGAAAATTGTGTAATTTTCCCTTGAAATCACTTTTTTAAAAGTAATCGTAGAATCAGTAAAGATATATTTGATGTGACGTAAAAAAATTAATTCTTCACACTTCATTTGATATATTATCTCGATAATGAAAATGTTTAAAGGATGATGTTAGCAGGTTTTTTTTATGAAAATGTTGTCATCTACAAAAAAGATCTTGCGACAATTTCTCCTAAGCCACTCGTTTTCGATAAATATTTAGTAACATAATAGTTTAATAATTATATAAACCAACATCAAAACAGATGGAGTATTAACAAAGTCTGAATTAAAATTCAGCAATCTCGTTTTACACAGTTTACGGTTATTACATGTTATGTGAAGACGGGTATTACGATGTTTTTAAAAAACAAATCCGTTGTAGATCAATAAATTGGCCAGTTTTCAACGAATATCTCAGAATCTAAGGGAGATAGCAAAATTTTTGTTATAATCTTTTCTGTAGAGCCGTTTGAGAGCTACAACAAATGTAAGTACGAAAATTTCGCTATCTCCCTTCGATTCAGAAATATTCCTCAAAAACTCAGCCGGCAGATAAGTCGACTTAAACCGTTTTACCACTTCCCTACCGGGATGTGACGTAAAAAATTAATTCTTCACACTTCCCTTGACATATTACTATCTCGACGATGAAAATGTTTAAAGGATAATATTACAAGACTTTTTTTTATGGAACTGTCATCATCGACAAAAAAGTTCTTCCGATAATTTCTCCTAAAGCCACTCGTTTTCGATAAATATTTAGTAACATAATAGTTTAATAATTATATAAACCAACATCAAAACAGATGGAGTGTTAACAAAGTCTGAATTAAAATTCACCAATCTCGTTTTACCACTTCCTCCAGAATAAATGAATCACTCAATTAATCAGTAAATTTTTCCATTGAATAGTAGTTTGCCTCCAGTATGGGACTCTCACGTGTCTCGTGCGGATCCGGACGGCGCGCCGTCCTCATCAGCATCGTCACCGACTTCCGCACCACCTGGTAAACACACTAGCAATAGAAAGGCCAGTGTCAGTAGTGACGAGTATCACAGGAAAAAAGAATGTCGCATACAGCAGCAATCGCAAACGCCGAGAGAATACAAAGACTATCGTCCCAAGTACTACGATTGGGCGGGTAGTAACGAGTCATCGTCTCATCTCGAGATCAAGCAGACCACTGTTCATCCCAAGGTTGTCTGCGATATTCCAAAAAGTTCTCATGTGTTCGTTGACACGAATACTCATACGGGAAAGCCAAATTCCAGTTCAACGCCACGTTCAGATAATTACAGGTAATTAAAGCGTGGGAGAGATTATGAGACAATTGACAACAATTATAAACATTTTTGGTTATTTAATTTGTAATTTCATTATTTATGCACGTGGAAAAACAACAGTCATACAGATAAATTTTTATTTTCAATTTTAATTTGTCTCCAATTTTAGCAGATTGGAAGACAATTGAAGAAAAATTGGAAACTTAAATTTGAGCGATGACAAAGTTTCCAGTTGGAAGCAAAAATGATCATTGGTTTATAAAAAATTATTAGTCATTGCGTCGAAATTGACGACGAGTTCAGTGATAATAAATCAACAAAATTGCGATGGTATGAAAGCCATTTAGAGTAGTCAATCGTATCAATTTATTCTTCTATTTCATTATATTTTGTATTTTTTAAATGAATTTGCTCTTATTAAAACATTTATTGATCCAATTTTATCAGCTCATTTTATTCATTTTTCAACATTATAAAAGACTATTAACAATTCATAATTATTTTTTAAAAATAAAATAGGAAAGATTTTGCTCACGGTGCTGTCGCAGCCAGATCGTCCCTGGCCAGCAGTGACAGTGAATTATCCCAGCCAAATACTCGCCCTCACTCTAGACAGAATGGAAATAAAAACAGCAAGCCTGTTCGTACTAGGTAAATAAAACGTCCCAGTTACTGCTAATGAGTATACAAATCTCGCTTGACCCCTTCTAGCCTCTGAAAGCCAGTATTTACGACCAATGCAGTTGCCAAAGTGGGTCAGTTTGCCAAGCACTGAACACTATCTCCCTAATAAATTCCAATCTCCAAGTACAATCCATCTTCCTGAAGAAAAATCAAATGACGGATCATTACTTTGTTAAATTCGTCGAATGAATTTCAAAATTTACGGATTAAATAAACTTGTCGTGAGTCTCACTATGACCCACTTGAGATTCAAGAGAGTACTGCATGTGCATGTCCGACTGAAGAGCGAAAATTATTCTCTGAATTAACACATCTGAATATTAATTAATAGAAAACAGCCGGAAATTCATTCTGAGTAATTGAAAAACTTTTAGTAGCCGCACCCAGAGAAACGACGCATTTGAATCCAATAAAATTCTTTATTCGAAATTTCTCGGTTCACTTCAATAATATTTCCGTTGGAGATTAATAATTTCATGGATTACTTTCAATAAAAATGTTTCAATTCAATTAAATAAATGATTTATTAACTCAGAATAATTCCTGTATTAGAACTTTCATAAACGATTAACGTTTAACATTTTAATAATTTTGTTTTTGAATCTATTGGAAAATGATCTCCTTTCTAATCAATGAAATCTTTATTTGAGTATAAACCATTTGTTCATATCGACGAACCCATTTATTTGGTTTGAATAATGTCTATTTAATTCAAATAAACATTTTCTCTGCGTGCATTGAAAAGACCAGAACGATTATATATTTTAACAATAATTAATCCGACTTCAATTTTTTATTTCACGCAGGTTTTAAGATTGCCGTAGAGTAAGTAATCCTAACACCTCTAGTCATCTAACAACGCTTCATTAAAAAATCGAAATCAGCGCTTCCTAACAGCCAATGTTCTCAGTAACAGGACTAGGTACGACTTGATGCTTAATGTTCGCAATAACTTCGCTCTTAAGAATATCCAAGTACTTTAGCCATTTTTTTTCCAGTGGAATGTTTTTCTACTTTTGTAGTCCAATATCAGAACTTTCATTTGAGTCCCATTTAACCCTAAGTTTCCAGACATTTTACAATGATTTTATCATTTAAAATTATTGAAAATCGTTTAAATTGTTTTATTCATTAAAATTTAATTAATAAAATTAAATCTGAATGAAATTTTCAATTTTTAATTTATTTTTTATTAATTCAATTCTTCTAATTAAATTTTAATTAATTTATTCATTATAATGAATTAAAATTATTTAAAATTTTACATTTTTTTAATCTGCACAAAAATTACACAATTTACTTTTGGAAAAAGATTGATAAAATAATTCAAAAATTGCAATTTTTAAAATTACCAGTATTTTCTACAAATAATTTATCAACAACAGTTTTTACAATAAAAATCATTTTTTCGAAATCGTAACAAATTTATTCATCCTCATAATTTTACCAAAAGTCGATTTCATGCCTAAACAAACAAGCTGAACCCAAACAAAAGTTTAAACAATTTTAATTATTTATGTATAAATAACGCATGTTAAAAAAAATAATAATCCTGTGCAAAATGTCATTTAAATGACTCTGAATATTCATGTTTTTTTTTTTCGAAATTTTCTCACGCAATTCAATTGACAAATTTGATGATTGAAAATGGTTGAATGAATAGTCTGGTCCGTACCGAACTGTAAAAGCTACTTGGATATCCTTATCCCTTCAAAATCAATGTGTCTCATTAAACAAATTAATAAATCAGGGAAGAGTCATCGCCAAAGGTTAATAACGACCAGGAAACAAGATCGACGACATTAGCGAGGTCGACGAGTCCAGCTAGGAGCTCAGAGGTCGCAAGTTCAGAGGAAGAGGCACCGGTTGAAGCCATCAAACAAGAACGCAATTCCATCACACCGGGAACTGGATTTATTCTCAATACTGTACAGCCATTTGTCAGAGAAAAGAGCTATCGACCTATTTCGTTCAATCCTCAACCACCACCACCACCGCCTCCACCAGTGCCCAGTTAAAATTCAGTCAAAAACATAATAAATATTTTTTATAACTTTTTTACTTATTCGTTCAACTAATCAATGAAAAATAACTGAGGGAGAAAATCGTTTACACTGTCGATTAGCTCGTGAAAAAATCCATCCCAAATTCAAGGAATAATGACCTCATAATTAATAATCAACTCAGGAAGATGAATATTATGTAGATTGTGAAAAAAGATGCACAAAATTTGTGGAAAAGTGGCTTGAAAAGGAGTTTTGAAGATTCTATTGAGATTGTTTGTTGTTTTCTGTGGATTATTGGATTAATGAAGATGTAAAATTGATGAATCGCCTCTATTGTTTAATCCAAAATCATAAATTGTATATTTTAATTATTTATCATTAGGATTCTAACAAATAACCAAATGTGTTCCATAAAAGTTCACCCCTCCCCTCCCCTTTCCTGTGTAATCCCATAGTATTTATGTTTGTAAGATAAGATCTAAGTTTTAACAAAAACCCTGAATCAAAGATTTTTAGTCCGAATGTATTCTTCGTTAACCAATTGTTTCTGTAAATGTAACTTATCTAATCGATTAATAGTTTCTCGTATAGGAACAAGGTTTAGGGAAACAAATGTATTGTAATTATGTACAGGGAATCTCGTAATTTGCTCACGTAAATTTAATCAAATAAATAATTAATGTTTTGTGTAATCCTTCGCGTTTTTATTCCAATGCATCATACTTTGAGGATAATTATTCAACGCAAGCACTTTGTTATGTGATGAAGATTTATGTGGGATTTACCATTCCACCTTCATAACGCGTTTTTACATCAAGAATGGAAATGAAAGAAGAAAACATGATTATGAGGATTTTTTTTTGTTGAAGATGAGTACTTGACCTCAGTAGTCATACCTCATACAATTCCAGATTGTTTTCAAGATCTTATACAATTCCACTTCGTCTTCGATCCTAGACAAATGAAGAAGTGTGAATAAATCAGACAATTGATATTTAGCATCCGAAGATATTAAAAATGGACAACAATTGAAAAATAACAATTTACAATAAATAAAAAGGCTTCAAATTTCAATAAAACAATGGATCAATCATCAGAAGGTGTAATTTCGTAAGTATTCCGTCACAAAGACCAACTCCTTTCCATTAATTCTCCAAAATCTCCACAAATTTATTTTTCTACATCTGAAGAATTCTCTCAAATTGAGGAAATCATAGTATTTCATTCATCTTCATAAAACAATAATGAAAATAGAGAAAAATGATGGTAACAAGATTTTTCTTGTTACAGTTGAATTTTGACCTTAGTAGTCATCAATCTGATACAATTCCACTTCCTCTTCGACCCCAGACAAATGAAAACATCTGAATATATCAGACAATCGATATTTAGCCCCTGGGGACATTAAAAAATGTTCAACAATTGAAGAATAACAGTTTATAATAACTAAAAAGCCTTCAAATTTCAATGAAACAATGGATCAATCATCAGAAGGTGTAATTTCGTAAGTATTCCGTCGCAAAGACCAGTTCTCATCCATCAATTCCCCGAAATCTCCCCAAATTCATTCTTCTACTCAGAGAAAGGCCCTTTGAGTGCATCCTGGACGATTCCTCCAGCGACGAGGACTCATCACCAGGTTCCCCGGTACCCTCCAAAACCCCTGAAACTCCATCAAAACCTGCCACATCAACATCGGTATCAGTATCAGCTTCTCACGGCCAAAGAAACAATCTCTCCGACGAGGATATTGACGAAGTACCTAAAAATTGAAATCGATAACACGCTTTTTGATCTGCGGACAAAATTTCCGCGACAATATTCCCGAAATGAAAATAAAACTCGCCAGGTAATGGAGCCGGGCCTTAAATCAGTATTATTTGTAGTTATGCGTTGATTCAATGTCAGCGAATGACTATAATTTATATTTATCNACTGACGAAATTTTAAGGTGGTGCGAACATTTTCCTGCGTTTTCTCTAAACTTTTAAAAAGAATCACAAAACTGTAGAAAAAACACATGAAAATTATCGCACCACTACGCAACTTCGTGAGCCATTAAAGAATGACAAACCACAAAATCGTTATATTTTTTCACTCACTCCCATCGATAATTTGCCAGAAAAATGAAAACAACGTCAATTTTGGCGAAAAGGGTGTCGAACATCCTTAATGGAAATGGCGTGTTTTTATGAATCAAGGGGAATTCCTTTGCTGGAGGAGCGCAAGCATTGCAATTGTGTGTAAAATGTGAGTTGTCGAATTGAAAATCGTGAATTAAATGTTATCTCTGATTTCTGAGTTATTTTTTTCCTTTTTGCGCTTGATATTGCTTCAAAAAAGGATGATATTTGAATGAAACCTCCGGAAAACTTGTCGGTGATTATTTTGTACCTGAATAATGAAAGAATAATGAATAATGAAAGTGGGGGAAAGGGTCCATGTTTAAAAAACTTTGTCAAAACAACTTGGTAACTAAAACAATTTGAAAAAAAAAAAACTAGGACAAATTGAACTTCAAAAGCTTGAAAAAACGTTTAAAAACTCCAGGAGAATAGTGCAAAATATAAGAATAGAGCGTTAATAAAGCTTCAATGAAATAAATGAGAAGCATCGATTATTCTTTTCACAAGAAACCAAAGCGAAATACATAACACTCTAGAATGCCACACGCAAACCCAGACTTTACTAATATTCTTACGGAAGACAAGATAACCGGAAGGTTTTATTGACGTAAGTTCGATTTGAAAAATTGAATTAACAAAAAGTTCACTTTCTCAAATTCGATTTAAGGCCCGGTTAGATTATCTTTTTGAACGTCATCTCGATTGTTTTTCCATCTTCATAATGTAAAATATATCACAATTTCCATTGGATTTCACATCACGCAGGAGTCCCGAAAAAATATGATTGTACAATGAAAAAAAGTAGAAAAAAACTGAACATTTTCAAAGAGCGTTTTTAATAAAGATTAAGAAATAAGTCCGATAGAGAGGAAATAGTGAATGGATAATTTATCACGGTAACTAACGATCTGACAGCCACGGACTACTGTCACAAATGACGACCTAACAGCCATTAGAAACATCGAATTATTAATTTGCAATTTCCTCCCTAATGAGCTTATTCCCCAGAATAATTCAGAAACGCTCTTTGAAAATGTTCACCTTTTCTCCACATATTTGGTATTGCACAATCATAATTTTTGGAGACTCCAGGGCTATGTAAAACTGAATAGCAATTGGAGATCATTTCAGATTATCAAAATGAAAAAAACACCCAAGATTACGTTCGAAAGATAATCCACCCGGGCCTTAACCGATTTTTTTGACGAAGTTTTTTAAACATACTCCCAGGAGAAATGGTCAGTGCGAAAATTGTCACATGTCAAATTGTCAATTGTCAATGGATAAATTGTCGTCGGTTATTTCGTCGCGGAAATTTCGTCTCTCAACGCCCTCCTACCCCCCAATCCAACCATAACTAATTTTCCTCCCCAGGTAATCCTGTCGATGACCTGGCTGAAAGGTCGAGTGGGTGCAGCGTATTACAACATCGCGACATCCGAGTTATTCGTAATGGACGACGTAATCGAAGATGACTTCAGCTACTGCATCACAAGAACTCTGTACAGGCAGTGCCAGCCGCGCTACGTGATCACATCATCAGGCAGTCCCGAGGCCTTCACAAACGTCCTGAAGAAGCTGATCGTGAAGGACACAGCAGACACCTCAATGTCCAGTGGCTCTGGGCTGGATCGCGCCTCCCACGTGGCCCTGAAAATCCTCTCGAAGACCTCAAACACCTTCGAGGACTGCGTTCACCGCGTGAACCTCTTAAACCTGACCTCAGAGCCCCAGGGGATGACCAGCACGGAGAGAATAACCTTCCTCAACTCAGTCCTGAATTACAACTCAAAGCTGATGCTCCACGCCCTGGGGATGCTGCTGAAGTACATCGACACCAACTGGGGGAAACTGGCTCTCGATCCCAACGGCGAGGCTGTCTACCTCTACGTGAACTACGTGAGACTGAAGGACCTCGTGATGATCGAGGAGGAGACGTACAAGGAGCTCAACATCATGCAGACGAAGTACCACCCCAGTTTGTTCAAATTCGGTGCCTCAGTCAAGCACGAGGGGATGAACCTCTTCACTCTGCTGAACCGATGTCAATCGAGGATTGGGGTCAAGTACCTCTGGAGGCTGATGCAGCAGCCAACTAGGGACGTGACTGTCCTCCAGGATCGCTTTCGAGTGACTGAGTTCTTCTTGAACCCTGACAACAGGAATCTCTTCGAGAGCTTGAGGAGCAGCTTGAAGAACCTCGTTCGCTTGACTCCAGCTCTGCTGAATCGTTATGCCACTCCCCTGGCCAAACCCCACGACTGGAAGAAGCTCAGTGCTGCATTGTCGAGTGTCATTCACATTGGGGAGCTGTGTGACTCCTGCAGGGGGTCCGCGATGATCTTCAGCAGAGTCGCTGACTCGATCACCAGGCACATGCACCAGTCTCGGTACTTCATTGATTATATCGTCGATTATGAGATGAGCAAGCACCAGGGGAAGTTCGCGGTCCGGGCTGGGGTCGACACTGAGCTCGATGAGCTGAATGACATGAGGAAGTCGCTTCCTGATATGCTGGCCAAGTATGTGATGAAGGACATGCCGGCTTTGCCGGATTCTGTGGACACTGCGAAGCTCATTTATCTTCCGGATATTGGGTTTCTGCTGGGGATTACTGGGTGGGTTGGAGAACCCCCTGAGGAGGTCGAGATCGAGGGGATGGAGTTCAAGTGCTCCATCGGGGGGATACGGCATTACAAGAGTGACACTGCTAGAGGTGAGGGGAATTTAAGAATGTGATGATTGTATTTTTTTTTTCATTTCATTATATTACGTTTTAATAACCAGGCAATAGGTCTCATAGGCTTGATAGGAGGCAATTTTCCTCGTACTGATACGGCTTTTCAATTTTTAAAGAGTTGGGTACTGATGACAATTTTTTTGTGGATGTTTCAGGACATTTATTAAAAATTTTTATGAGATTTAGTTTCAATGAAAATTCAATATTCTAGGGGAGAGTCGATGGAAACTGTGATATTCAGCTGAATTATCATCTACGAAAAAATTTAGTAGAAATACGTAGCGAATTCACGAGATAATTTTATTGGATTTCTATTGAACTTTCTATTAGTTTTTGGTTGTGTTGAAATATGAAATAGAAAACGTTCTATAGAAAATTTAAGAGAATTCGATTTTTCTGTACAAAATTATTCTATTGAGATATTTTCTATAGAATTTCCTCGGCTCAAATATTCCAATTTTTTTGTTTAATTCAATTCAATTTAAGAAATATCTAGCGAATTCACTAGACAATTTTACTGGATTTCTATTGATTTTTCTATTAGTTTTTGGTTGATTGTGTTGGAATATGAAATAGAAAACGATGTATAGAAAAACTAACAGAATTCGATTTTTCGGTACAAAATTATTCTATTGAGATATTTTCTATAGAATTTCCTCGGCTCAAATATTCAATTTTTTCGTTTGTTTTTGGTGGCCAAAAGAAAACAAACTATAGAATGAAAAAAACTTGGAAAATTTGAGCCGAGGACATTTTATCGGCAAAATATTACTGAAATAAGTTGTTTGAAAAAATCGAATTCTGTTTTTTTTTCTATAGAATATTTTTTATTTAATATTTTAATAGAATTGACCGAAAACTAATAGAAAGTTGAATGGAAATCCAATAAAATTGTCTTGAAAATTCGCTAGGTTGTTCTATTAAATTTTTTCGTGTGTGATTCTATGAAAATTGATAGAAATTAGAAAAATTCAGGTGAATATGTTCTTGAATTTTTCATTAATTGAAAATTCTGCGTAATTTGGTACTGAAATCTTCATGTTTTAATTCCAATTTCAAGTAAGCTGGGGAATCCTTGTGTTTCTGCTGCTCAAAAACTGAAATTTCATGGTTTTTACTACCCCTGACTTGAATTGAATTTCACTCTCTTCAAAATTACTAGTCAACTTACTATGAAAGTTTCAATTTTCTGTCAACAGTGCGAAGTTTTTTTGAAATTCCTGTGGGCTTTTCAATGTTTCAGAATTAGACGAGGGCGTGGGAGATATTCTGTGCAAGATAACTCATCGTCAGAGTGTTATTCTCATGAAACTGATTGATTTCCTCAGTGAAGACATTGTATCCATTACTAAGGCCATTGAATGCTGTGCAGAACTGGATGCGTAAGTATTTTTCAAAGATGTAGTACTCAATTTTTTACATGATCATTTCATAATTTCTTTGAGATCACCAGATTATTTTAAAAAAGTCGTCGTCAAAGAGACTATTACTCATGTGCTTTTACGTCTTCATCAGTTTTTGCTAAATATCCTTGGAAGTAATGAAGAAAGTGGCTAATTCGATTTAGGGGAAAAAATTCAGCAATTTCAGATTTTGCTGAAATTTCGATGAATTAAAAATGACAGAATTGAAGATATTCACCTGAAATTTCTTGATTTTTATCCATTTTCATAGAATAATTGAACTGAAAGATACAGTTTCAATTAACTTTTCCATAAAATTTATTAAATGTCGATCAATAGAAAAAATAATTAATCGTATGATTACACACGAGTAATATTATTGAAAGATGAAAAGGTGAAAGTTTTTCGTTGTACAATCACAATTTTTGGAGACTCCAGAGCTCTGTAAAACTGAATAGTGAAGTGGTCAATCGATTCAAGTCGACTTAGCTCGCAGTTGAGTGTTTCTTGAATAACTGGGAATTTAAGAATCATAGCATACATTAAAGATATTACGATAATACTATAGATTATATTATATTATACTATAAATTATATGTATAATATTATATATTATATTATATACTCTACTATTTTATAATACATATAGTACTCTCTTATATTTTGTATATTATACACAGTATATATAAAATAGTATAGTATTATCGTAACATCTTTAATGTATGCTATCATCATTTATAAAAAATCTAATGACACAATACGCCAAATAGATTGGCTTCAAAAAAAGTCACACTGGATGTATTATATATAAAAAAATAGAATACATTCCTAAAACTTTTCCTTCGGCAACTTTAATATTAACTTCAGAAATCCAATATAAGATTATTCACCACAATTGACATACATTAAGTCCCATGGGGCCCCATAGGACATACGCGCGCCAAGCGCGCAAACTAATCTAATCAAAATAAAAAGCAACAACCAAGATCACCTTCGAAAGACAGTCCATCCCCCATGGAAAGAACATATATCCGGACATATATCTCAGTATATTTCACTTATATTTCGGCCAAAAATGTCATATGCCAGATATATCCTCGATATAAATATGCACATATATCTCGATGTAAAATATTTAACATATAATTCTAGGAGTCTTTTTCCCCGGAAAAAATTTCTCAATAAAAAATTTCCCCATTTTATTTTCACCACAACACAAACAGTACAAGTATACAAGAAATTTTTTTCCGGAGGAATTTTTTTTTAGAAAATTTTTTCCGGAAAATTTTTTCCGGGGAAAAAGTATCCGCCTACCTTAACATATATCTGCAATATATCTCAGATATATTTTCGGCCAAAATTGTGGTATACCAAATATACGCGACATGTGAGTGCTGCATATATCTCGGTGTCCGCAATTTTTTCCTTTGGAAAAAATCTTTTGGAAAAAATCTCTCGGAAAAATACTTTTTTTTCAAAATTACTTGTGAAAAAATTTTTTCCGGAAAACACTACTTGAGAAAAAATTTCTATCGCACCATTCAATACATTTCCAGCTAGAATCTAAAGCCAAAATATGCCCATTAAGTCTAAAATTTCCCTGAACTTCTGTCAAAATGATTTTCTGTACATTTTCGATGTAAAAAATGGATTCTATTTTTTTTCTGACATTTTTTCCAAGGAAGTAAAAAAAAGGAATTAAATTCCGGGAAAAAAATTTTCCCAAGTAATTTTTTTCGGGAAAAAAAATTTCCCAAGTAATTTTTTTCCGGAAAAAAATAATTCGGGGAAATTTTTTCCGGAAGTTTTTTTCCTTAGGGAATAAGTGCGGGAACCTATATCTCATTCCCATAAGGGCACCCGCGCCTGAAATTTCTTCCTTCCAGATTGATGTCCCTCTCGACAGTGGCCCGAGATCACAACTACACCCAGCCAAAAATTGTGAAATCCCACGTGATCGACATAAAGGATGGACGACACCCACTTCGCGAGTTATTCAGTCAGTACGTCGCGAATGACACGCAATCCGGAGAAAGTAGCAGTCTGATCAAGATCTTTTCAGGTCCAAACGCGTGCGGCAAGACAGCCTACATGAAGCAGATAGCACTGATCGTGTACATGGCGCACATCGGCTGCTACGTGTCAGCAAGCTCAGCGCGGATCGGAGTCATCACGAATATCTTGACGCAAATTCCCTTGATGGAGAGCAGCTGTTACAACGCCAGTTCCTTCCTGATAGACCTCCGACAGATCAACAACATTCTCTACTCGTCAACCCCGAATTCACTGATCATCATGGATGAGTTTGGAAGAGGGACTGCCGAAATCGATGGACTGGCTCTTCTCGCCAGTGTCCTCAACAACTTCATCAAACGCAAGAACTACTGTCCCCACGTCTTCGTGGCCACCCACATGCACAGGATCGGCAGTATTCTCCCACCAGATCCAATCTTCGAGCTGCAGATGTTTGATTACGTCTTCAGTGAGGAGAACACCCTGGTCTTCCTGTACAAGGTGATATCAGGCTGCGTCGAAAAGAGCTTCGCGCATGAAGTCGCGAGGAGTATGGGCTTGGAGGATGATGTATTGAATGAAGCTGTTGAGATATTCGAATCCATGAGGAGGGGAGAAATGCCACCAACGAAACCTCAGGAGGACGGGAGGACTATGATGAGGCGTATTGCTAATGTATCGAAGGATGAGGAGAATACGGAGGCGGGGAAACTCAAGGATTTGATCAAGAACACAATGATGAGGGAATTGTAAAGCCAAGTGGTGATGATTACTCTTAATTCTATTCTATTGATAACTTACGAAATAGGGTTTATGATAAGTTAAGGTTTATTACAATTCCAAAAATTAATTCTCCCTCGTCATTCACCCCGAATTCATTAATCTTCATGTACGAATTCGGAAGAGGAACTGCAAGAATACAATGATGAGGAAATTATAAAGACAAAGTGTTGATGATTATTCTTAATTCTATCCTATTGATAACTTACGAAATAGTGCTCATGATAAATTAAAGTTTATTACAATTCCATACAGGAATGTAAATAATAAATATGAATGATTAATTCTCCCTCCTCTCCACTCCGAATTCATTAATTGTACGAGTTTGGAAGAGGAACTGCAAGAATGCAATGATGAGGAAATTATAAAGCCAAAGTGTTGATGATTATTGTTAATTTCTATTGATAACTATTATAAAATAGTTGCTTCTTATGATAATGTAAGATTTTTTATAGTTTAAAAGTTTTCTGAATACTAAATACAAGTGATTAACGGATACGCAAACTATTAAGGATGTTCTACACCCTTTCTGCCAAAATTCACGTTTTTTTAATTTTTCTGGCAAACTTATGATGGAATTGACGTGAAAAAATATAACGTTTTTGCGTTTTGTCATTATTTAATGACTGACGAAATTTTAAGGTGGTGCGAACATTTTCCTGCGTTTTCTCTAAACTTTTAAAAAGAATCACAAAACTGTAGAAAAAACGCATGAAAATTATCGCACCACTACGCAACTTCGTGAGCCATTAAAGAATGACAAACCACAAAATCGTTATATTTTTTCACGTCACTCCCATCGATAATTTGCCAGAAAAATGAAAACAACGTCAATTTTGGCTAAAAGGGTGTCGAACATCCTTGAGAGAAAATGCATCTCCAGAGGCGCCGAATTCAGTCGACTCACCTACAAAAACAAAGGGCTCAATACAAAACATAGTTAGAATATACAAAGCCATTTGTTGCCCAATATTAGATTACGCACATCCGCTTCTCCTCTATGCAAGATCAGGTACAAAGAAGGTCATCGACGTTTACCTCTTTTTGTGTTTTGATCTCTATCGTACACTGCACACGGAGAGAAATATTCAATAAAAATTACGTATCTCTTCCGTAATTCCGGAGCGAAATGTGGTTGTGTGAAACTTTACGGAACTGTTACGGAATTTTTCCAGACTCTTCCGTAATTTTTAACTGAATTTCCTGTGAAAATTACGATACCGTCACTTAAATTTTCTGAGTCGCTTCCGTAATCGTCGAGCGAATTGTGAGTTCCGTAATTTTTACTGAACATTTCTCTCTGTGTACATTATCATAGCATTCAACAAAATATCGATGGCCATGCGCAAAAATAGTATATTTCGTAACGAGTGCAAAAAAGTGTTTTTTCACGAGTTACGAACAATATTTTTCATCACAATGTGGCGGAAATTGGCCTTTTAGGCACCCGGAGCGTGCCGAAAAGTTCACTTTTCGTCACAGCGTGATGAAAATTCATTTTTTTTGTTTTTACCTTCAAAATGCTCCGTGCGCCGTAATTTTCAAACGACTTTAGCTGTTTTTTAATGTTCGTTGCACTCCAAAAAATAAAGTTAAGCATCTGTTCTACTTTATTCGCAATAGATCATGGATAAATGAATTTGGAATTTCATCAAGTTTTCGCGTCTGCAGAGTAAAGCAAAAAATAATTGCTTTTAGTAATTGAACATTGCAATCATGCGTAATTTAATTTTTATAAACAAAAAAATGGCCGGTTGGAGCGAAAAGGCGGGTTTAAAGGAAAATTTAGAAATTCCAAATTTATTTATTCATGATCTATTGCCAATAATCAACCCGGATGCGTAACTTTATTTGATTAGTTTGAAGTGTAACGAACATTTAAAAAAAGTTAAAATCGTATAAAAACTACAGCGCAAGGAGCATTTTGAAGATAAAAACAGGAAAAAGAAGGTGATTATACGGAGCAAAATCGATCGGGTCAACGATTTTCCCTAGTTATTCCCATATTCCGTCATAAATCACAAATTGTTTAACGGATCCCAAGGCCCAGTGAAGACTCAAATTTCACCGACGTGTGCCTTTAATAAAAATAAATAATACAAATGATTATTTATCATCATGATCAGTAAATCATGACGACAAATAATCTCATCGATCTGATAATGAGTCAAAAATGACCATTCATCACATGAATTAAAATTATCTCTGAAAATAAGTGGTAAAAATATTGATTACTCATAATTTCCAATCCCAATTGCCAAAAAATGATGACTCGTAAAGTGAATTATCTTCATAAAATATTCTAAAAAAAATACCATACAAAAAATATAATTAACCAATTAATTCTCTTCAATTCCAAAACCAAAGACAAATTCCCCCATTCAAATTTACGAACTTCTTATCATCGGAGTCGCCGAAGACCCCGAGGCCGCCACCGTCCAATCACACTCTCCTCCCCCACCCCCCGGACTTGCGCAAAACCCCACAAACTACCGCCCGCCACCGCAAGATGTCGCCGGCAAAAATTTCACAAAAATTCCTAGTTGGCGCTCGTAGTCTTTCCGTTGTCAATAACGGACACTGCTAGTAAGCCCGGCTCAAACCTAAAACCTCCGCAGCTCCCCACGCGCAAATTCCCCCCCAGTGCACCCATTAATGTGAAATAATCGGTGAACCGTGCGAGCCACAATCACCTCCACCCGCGAATTCCCAAATAACCCCACAAAAATAAGCTCATCAATCCGTAACAGCAGCTGTAGAATAACCGATCAACGGGCGTGCCTTTGATTCGGACGTTCCCGCAGTGGATACGGGGGCCGCGACGGGAGATTTTTGAATGCACACGCATTCGTAACTGTCAGTTTGTGGTGCTCCCTCTCAAGTCGCCGGTTCACTTCGTCTACACAGTGACATTAAAAATTCCCCCCGAATTAAAATCGCCGTAACGTTCTGTGAGTAAATCCTGGCGAGGCTTTATGGTGCTCGTGTTTTTTTTTCCAACGCCTGAAAATTGATTAAATGACCATGGACCACGGCATGTGCAACATCGAGACTGGCACCAGCATAAACATCAAGAGAACGGACGGTGAGTCACTCTTAACCCGCCAAACATTTTTTCTTTTCTCCCTCTTCCCCGTCGCTCTGGGGGCACTCTAACCCCCAATCGAGGGGTCTCATCTGCTCTGCATTTCCCTACGACATGGCTACCCCTGGCAAATTCTCCGATCGTCCCGACCTGTGTGCGTGGGCATGCAAAGCCTCATGTCCACCTTCAACCGGTTTTATTTTTCATTTGGTTTCGCGCCCGTCGTCATTCCCATATTCGGGAAATTTCCCCTACCTCCAGCAACATGTTTGTACACTTCAATTGCGAGCCAACATACACCTCATGGCCGCGAATAAAACCAGTAGTGGTGGCCGATTCCCTCTCGATTGGGATTCGACATTTACGGGGTTGTCCGTTCAATGCTGGATGGAGTCGATCTCTCGCTTTAGTTTTAGTTTTAGTCTATCTGCTCGTATCGGGTGGGAAAAGGAAGTTTTGGGGGGGACGGTTGCAACCGCTCTAGGGTGAACGGGCCAATCGCTCGACTCGGACTAATACCTGGAGGATTTCAAGTTTTATTGAGAATTCTAGAAATAAGGGAATGAATACTGTACGGATTGTTATCCGGGTCAATAATAACACTTATGGGGAATCATGTGATGAAGGGTTTTTCGAAATATCTATGGTACAGCGAGAGAAATAATATATGCGGGAGGTAGTGCTGGGTGGTGTGGCGCTGCAATTTGCTAAGCATCAGTGACAAAGTGTCGTGGAGAATATGAAGAGGTTCTCCTCACTGTTATTAGAAAATTACTCTTGAAATTTCAAGTGGAAATACTTGAAATTTTTAATCACGATAAAGTTGCGTGAAATTTCTGTATATTTTTTCATTGACGAATCATTTCTTCATTGACGAATCATTTCTGCATTGACGAAAAAACATTAACAATTTTGAAAATTCAGGCAAAAACTTTTCTGAATTCTCAATCTATTGAAAATTGAATTGCATGTGACGAAGCAGTAAACCGATTCAAGTCGACTTGGCTCTTCGCTGAGTTTTTGAGGAATATCTCCGAATCTAAGCGAATCAGCGAAATTGTCATCATGACAATTTTTGTAGCTCTCAATTCACTCTATAAAAAAGGTCATCACAAAAAATTTGCTATCCCACTTAGATTTCGAGATATTCATTCAGAACTGACTAATAGTCTACATCGACTTAAAGCTGTTTACCGCTTCGCTACTAAATTTTCACGATGAGTTTGGAAATTCAAGCTTTCATTGAAAAATCAATGATTGTTTAACATGAAAAACCCAATTTTCTTGAATTTTCAAGATGAATGAGAAATTTAGTGAGCGATTGCATTTCAAATTGAATTCATCATCATAGCATTGAAAATGCAGATGACGTTGTGACTGAAATTTCAAGAAATTTCTAGCAGTGGTCCGAAAGAGTAAGAGTCAATGGGAAATAGAACAATATTTTCAGGAGGAGACGCACATCCCTAAGATTGAGAATTTATTCGGCCTTTTATTTCTTCACACTTAATAAACCAAAGTTCACATATTTTGTATCAACTGGATGAAAATCCTATATTTCTCGAGACCCTCCAATTATCAAGGATTTGGACGATATTTCCCTTTTCCGTCATTTAATGATTCTTCTCTTCATTTTTTTCGACTTAAAATTATTGTTTTTTCCTAGTTCAAAGATTCTTTCAGGTCTAGAACTAATTTTTTATTCATTTAGCTACTTCATCGATTTTAAATCCTTTAATGAAATTCAATTTCCTTAACCATCTAGTTATCTGTTCCTTAACCATCTGTTTTTTACGTTCTGTAACAAGCAATACCCTTTGAAATGGTATATGAATAGTTTCATGCACTAGACCTACAGTTATAGAAAAATCCAAATAAAAAATTTACAA